TGCTCTCAGGAGTTTGGGGGAAATAAGGAAAGACAGAGCATTCCAGGTATGGGAAACAGACGACTGGGGAGCCGAGAGAAGTAAGCTAGCCAGACTCCATTGAAATTTCAAGTAGCCCCTTGTCTCTGCGACATAGAAGCATGGGTGGGAGGGTCAGGGTGGAAGGAGTGGGTCCTGGGCCAGAAAAATGGGCAGTAGCTTGATCGAAAAGGGCCTTAAAGGGCTAAACTAAGAAATTTGAACATTATCCTGAAAGTCACAGGAGGCTGGTGAATGGCTTTTAAGCAGGAGAGTGAGCTGGTCAGCTTTGTGAATTACAAAGATTATTCTGGAGTGCCAAGCGGGGAGGACTGGAGGAGAGTTGGGCTGTTTGTTGTAAAGATCCAGGAGAGATGCAGAGAAGCAGTAGTTACTTAAGAAGGCAGAGATGTCAACTTGAGGGATGCTAAGGAGGGAACCTGGGGGACTCTTGGGTTTCCGGTGGTGCCGTTTATTGAGATAGAGAATAAGGGGGAAAGGGACAGGTGTAAAGGGGAGACAGTGAGATTGAGGTGACTGCGAGACTTCAAATAGGAAGAGCTTTTCAAGCAGCTGGACTAAGTGTCAGGAGAGAAGCAGAGGATTATGGTTCAAACATCTGGGTTTGGGGCTGTTCAGCAGTTGGGTGGAAGCCCTGCATGAAGATTCTTGTAGAGCAGTAGAGGAACGTGAGAGAACATCCCCAGTGCAGGCTGGGGTAGGAAGAGAGAGGACTTGAAGCAAACTGAGAAGAAAGGCTAGAAAGATAGGTGAAATCCTCCGTCTGGGAGACAAAGGAGGAGAAAGTTCTAGGAAGGAGGGAGTGGGTCTCATGTCAAGAAGGCTCAAGAAAGAAGGACAGTAAGAGTGTCCAGCAGCTCTGGGGAAAAGGGACGTTGGAGGCTTTACTGAGGGCAGTTCCTCTGGTGAGGCCGAACTGGAAGCCACATGGGAGGGCAGGGGTTGGGGACAATGATCAGACAACTTTCCAAGAAGACCGAATGGAAAAGAAAGAAGAGAAATAGAACAGCAGCTAGAGGGAGAAGTGGTGATTGAAGTGGGCTTTTTCAGGATGGGGGAGACTTGTTCATAAGATGCTGAGAGCTAATATAAATGAGAAGGAAGATATAGGACAGAGAAAGGAAGATTGATGGAGCAAGGTCTCAGAGGAGGGAGCAAGGAAGGTATCCAAAGCAGAGGTGGTGGGATCAGCCTTAGACAAGAGGAAGGACAGCCCTTTCACTGAGATGGGAGGTTAGGAGGAAAGGATAGGGCCAGACAGATAAGTTTGTACTTGGCAGGGGAGGAAATTGAGGGAGTTCTCGATTGATGGCCTCAATTTTCTCAGCGAAGGAGGAGGCAAGGTGATCTGCTGAGTGGAGCGGGGGAGGTGGTAGACAGGAGGTGGTTTAGGAAGGGAGAATGTTTGGTATATATAACTGCTAAGAGTGATGTGGGATGGAGCTGGCTAGCGACACAGAAAGAATCTGGGGAGTACTGAGCATCCAGCTGAGTTGGGAGAATATATACTTGGTGTATCTTGAACTCTCACCTGTGACATTTTCTCATAACACCTTTAAAAGTCTAGGCAGAGTAGCAAAAAAATTGAATTGTTAGATTGCCCTGGGGCCTAGTTTTTGCAGAGTGGATGTCACAGAAAGTTAAGAGTGTTGAGAAATGATAGGATATTGAGAAGAGAGAGTTGAAACATGGGGCTATAAGATACAGGGTAGGTAAAGAAGGGAACACGATCAAAATTCATTTGCTAGATCAGGAGCAAATGCAAGGCCAGGACTCCAAGGCCTCAATAGATAGGTGTTTTGGGGAACACCAAGAGTGGTGAGCTTGACATAGTGGTCAGTTGATGTTTCAGATTATGTAGGTACGCCTGTTATATGGGAGCTTTGAAATCGGTAGTCTGAAAGTTAATTTTACCACTTTGTGGAAGCCTTCCTTAATTTCTCAGTCCTCCAACTTTTCTCTTTTTTCTCCACCCTCTGAACTTACATATCATTCTGTTTGCAGACAGGTAGTAAAAAGAACATTAAAACTGGACCATCACTACCAGAGTCAGGAGATCTTGTTTTGGTCTTATTTCTAGCACTCAAATTCTATGGACTCGGCCACAGTGTGAGTCACCAAGCAATGGCTATCTTGACCAGTTCAACTTGCTTAGGGACAGATTATTCTGTCCACGCACATTATGTGCCTACACATCCCCAGTGCTGATGTAATTCCTTTGTTTGTTTCCCATCTTTCTGTGGGAAGAGGCATGGGAAGAGCAGCAACCACATTCCTCGTGTGTCACTTTACTTCACTGCAGCTATATGATATCCAAAGTCAAAAGAATCCAGAAGAGATTCTAGTGGGGAAGGAAGAGATATTTCATTTCATAAAATTTCCTAAGACCATTTTTATTTTAAAAAACAGTCTCAGAGCCAGATTTTGAGAGGAGAAAGTTCAAGAAGCTTATAAATGCTATGAAAGCAAATATTCAGGGAGGAAAAAAAATAGGCTCTTTAAAATATGAGCTTTGTTATCTGACTGAGGTCAACAGAGACAGACCAAATCAACAAGCATGACATGAAGGGCAAATTTGCAATTAAAAGAAGAATAGGGAATTATAAAGATGGATGGGGCCCATGACACGCACGCCCAAGCCTGCGTGGCCTTGGCCTTGGATGCCAGAAATTAATGCTTTACTCTTTAGCACTGGTCACCTTTGGCTTTGAACAGAAAGGCAAATGCATTAAAATAACAACAATTAGAACACTTACTTAGCTTGGAAGGCATTGTTGGTTCCCCTGTGGTCAAGGTCATGACACAAGCATCCCACAATCACCGCTAAAATTTCCACCTCAGTCAGAATCTCTTGAAACCCAGCAGTCTGAGAAGAAGAGAAAATGGCAGCAGTCACTACGCAGGGCAGGGAGGATGGATAAGGTTCGTCTACTGAGCAACAATCAGCTCTGTTTTCATACCCTCATCATTTAAGGAAATGATTAACTGCCACCCCCTTAGATGACAGTGAGTTGGGTGGTCAGTTGCACAGCCTAAGGTCCCTGCAGTGATGAATTAGCTCACTGTCACAGTGGCTCATGCTGGCACACCAGAACAAAGTTGAGACTATTTATTTCCCTTTTTAGAAAAAAGGCTACACTATCCCGATACAGTGACTGTTTGGCAAAGGCCTAGAGCAAAACGTGTTTTGTGATTCTGCATGTCAGTGAGGAGCATCTATTGGTAGGAGGAGAAGAAGGGTGAATTTAGAACTGAATGTTACATCCACCAGATGCCACTCAAATGAAAGCTGGCAAAAGAAAACACCTCCTATTTTTTTTTTTTTAAATATTAAAGGAAGCAGCTTACAAGTACTGAAACTGTTACATGATAATATTCTAGAAATTAATACCTTAATTTCTTATAAATACCTTAATTCTTTTAAGCTTGGAGGACAGATTAAATTCACACAGATAATAAGGTAATGCATATCTTCAAAACTAGAATTCAATAGAGGATTAGGCAACCCAGACTGAGGATCAGTGGAGTATCCATTACATGGGATTCATTTTTAAAAAAATCATCCTCTGGTAGCTTGCTTATGAAATGCATAGGTGTGGTGTGATTTGTTTTGGGAGCAGTGTGATGTCACTGTGTAACCCAAAGCCACAACGGTTCTTTGAGTCCTGCTGTCTCTTCGTTAGTTTAGAAGAGGAAGAGAACCTCTGAAAAAGTAGGTCTATGCATTTTCTTGATCCAAGGTCTTTACATCTCCCCTGCCTTTTTACTTTATAAGTCTCCCATTTCATTACTAACTAACATCTTTATCAGAGGGTGGGAGGAGGGGAAAGGTAGGGTTCAGATTGCTTCTATTTTCATGTGAGTTTTTTTTTCCCAAATCTAGGGTCACTAGCTAGATACTTTTCTTACAGCAATGAAAACTTTGTTATTTAACTAATTATGCTTTTATTGCAGAAATAATTGAATAAATTTTTGTCTTGACAATTTTATTTTTAAAAGTTGAGTTGGTCCCACTGCCACATTTAAAAGTACATATAATTTCATTTGCATAGTAAATGGGAATGTTAATAAATTGTCTGGGAGGGGCTGAAATAGCCCATATCAAAGCTGTGTGTTCTCTTTCATTTTAAAATTTGAAGCTGGCAGCTGGATTTAAGTTAATTTTGTTTTACATAAAATACTACCTTCAATAGTTTTAAAAAGTTCAAATTGTCGTGAAGAGATTTAGAACCCAAAACAGACGTCTCTCATTCCCCTTTCCTAATTCTCAAAGGCAATTTTCCATTTTCTGCTTTATCTAATTTGGTAGGCATTTTTCACCACATTTCTATATAGTAGTAATATGTTATTCGCACTTAGTTATTCATCAGTTATTCATATGTGCCCAACACAGTCTTTTGAGCTTTACAACTAACTGTTTAACTCACTTCTCGTACATAACAGGCCTGTGAGGTAGGAACTATTATTATCCCCAAGTACAGGTGAGGAAATGGGCACAGATGGACCTGTCTGCCCAAAGTCTCATATAGCTTTCCTGATTATCACTCTATAAATATTTTTCACTGTAAAGTCTACTGATATTTGATCATTGTTTCTTTTCTTATGTAAATGTTTCATTTCCTGAAGTTAAGATTTGTTTGAACATCCAAGTCTTCTGCATTCCTACACATCTCTCCAGCCAGTCATGCCTTTTAGTAGATCCCTTCCCAGCCTGGTCCTGGGGACGCCCTACTAATATACATATATATGTATGTATGTGTATATATATATATATATGTATGTATGTGTATATATATATATATGTATGTATGTGTATATATATATATATATATATGTATGTATGTGTATATATACATGTATGTGTGTGTATATATATGTATGTATATATATATCCTGATCCTTTGCTTTGGTCTGGGTTCTCTGTCTGCTCCAGCTTTCCTCTCCTTGGGTTGATCTCCTGTCTCCTGCATCCCACACCTTCCTTTCCTCATTTTCTCCCTCAGTTTTCAGGAACACTTCTGCCAGTGGCTTCACGAGAAATTTTTATGTTAATTTTTTAACACTAGAGGATTTAATTTTTTTTTTTTTTTTGAGGCTTTGCAGGACCTAAAATGTCTTGAATCTATTCTCCTACTCAATTGTTTGCTTGCCTAACAATTGGGCAACATTTTCACTCAGGATTTTGAAGGACAGCTCTATTGTTTTCTAACTTCCGAAGTTACTTTAGAGAAGCTTATGTCATTCTTCCTAATACTTGATTTTCTCTCTTTAGAATCTTCTATCTCTGGGGTTTGGCAATTTCACAAAGATATGCTTTCATTTGGAACTTTCTCCGCATCGTTTTGCTTAATTAGCTTTTTCTTCAGTATAGCATTCTTGTAATCTTTTTCTCTGAATTGTTTCCTGTTCGCTATTTTTTCAGTCCTATTTGACTGGACCTTCAATTGGTTGGACATTGGATTTTTTGTATCGCTTTACTTGTTTTCTTGTCTTTTCTTTCCCATTGCCCTTATCGACTTTTTCTCTCTGATTTTCTAGAGTAATAGTATTTTTCATTTATAAGCATTTTCTTGTCTGCTGCCTCTTTTCTAATAGCATGATATTCTTCTCTCATGGATGCATTATCGTCTCTTATCTTTTGAGGGTATTAATTGTAATTCTTCTAAAATTCTCTTCTGCTCCCTGATTGCCTATTTCCTCTGAACTCTTTTTCTTTGTGTTTGGTGGTTTCCTTAAGTGCCCGGTATTTCACTCACTTACGAGTAAAACATTACAATGTTCACCACACACCTGTGTGTGGGGATGGTGTCTAGATTGTTGGGCCCTCATCACAGGGTGAGCAGATGGACAGTTGGTCCCTTGCTGGAGAAACCCTCATGTCAGTATCTAAACTTATTTCCTCTGGACTTTTCAATTTCTTGCTTGGAAGTGGCATAAACATTCTAAGAAAATGTGTTGGCATTCTAAGAAAAGAGAATGTAGCTTCTCACCTTTGAGGATAGAGACTTTCACTTAATTCTCTTATTTTCAAGGTGTATCTCACCCTAACTTTTTTTTTGGCTGGTGTCTCCAAGTTTGGGGTTCAGTTTCTCCAACAAATACTCTAGTTTCTTGAATAGGTGAGGGGAAGAGTTGCCCTCTGACTACAAGGAGAAGGCACAGGACTTGGGGACCCAGTGTTTTCATCACCCCTTACCCCACTTCACCCATTTCAGTGGTATATGAAGCCTTAAGTTCCTGAGCTTTGAAAGCTGCTGGGGGAACACTGTTTCTCATGTGTATCCCTTCCTCTACCCACTTACCCTTAAGGCACTTGGGTCAGACTTTCCTTTTTTCTGCTAAGCTATGAACTATCCTCCCTCTATTTTCTGCCTTCATGTATTACAGTTTCATGAAAAGTGGAATTTGTGTCCATTTCTTGTTCTCCCTGTTATTTGGGGATAATTTTTGAAAGGTGAAAGGATATAAATGTTTTTATCTGTCATCTCTGTCATCTTGAAACTCTAAATCGGTTTAGCTGGGTTTGGATTTTGCTAATACTAAGTGAATCCTGAAAGTGTATCAAGTATGAAATAATTACCCATGATACTATGAAAATCAGTGCTGTAAACAACAATGAAACAGCACAGAAAGATTTTGCCTTTGAAAATGCTGTTGATTAGAACTAGCTGATGAATCAGAACAGTAAGAATAGTGATGGGATAATGTTAAACTAAGGTCATTTCACTAGAAATTTAATTAAAAGTTAAAATTAAATGCCATATAATAGACTCAAGATTAAAATCCCAAATCGTTTTTAAGCCACCAGTTATCACCTACTATATAATACGATGAAACGTATTTTACTATAATGTCCTATGCAGCCACCTTCCGTCTCACCCCTGACCTTTCCAGCATCTAGTTCTTAAACTATTTGTACCATGGATACTTTTGAGAATTTGATAAAAGCCATTTCTTCCCAGAAATTATTCTATAATTTTATGTTGTTCAAAGACCATGGAGCCAATCTTGGGATCCTCAGAATAAAGAAACCCAGACGTACAGTACACACCAGTCACACAAAACACATTTACCTCTCTTGTCTGTGATACCTGAGTTACTGGAGCAGCACCTATCTCTTGACTATGATTTAGAGCTGCCTGGTAAATGGTTTCTGAGAGTCTTCAGGCCTGAAAAGGGTCCACCTGCCACTAAATGTCCATTTGTGCCCCCCTCGCCCTCATCCATCTTTTTTCTAGTCCTATCCATTCTGACCTACACTTACGATTGAGGAAAAAGTCAACTGCCTGCTGAAGACAATATACTTTCAGAAGAAAACAGAACGGCAGCCAGAAGTATATTTTAATGCGTTTATTCTATGCTTGACTCTATTTTATTACTTTATTTTCAAATAAATTGTATCTTTTCTGCTCCTGATGCAGTAATTACGGATTTATTGACCTTAATGTTAATCTGTCTTCTCATCTGTATTCTCTGAGGGTCCATATATCAGAAATGTGAAGCAGTGAATACGATATATCTAAGTAAAGAGACGGTCAAGGCATATAGACCTAGTTTCCACGTTGTCCTCTCCAGAGAAGCCTGTGACTGCTCTCTGAACAGGTCTCAATGACAGTCTTTCGTTGAGCTAAAACAAATGCTGGGATAACTCTACCCCTAGCTACTACAGCATATGATCACTAGAATGCTAAAGGACCCTAATGGTAAGCTTCACAGCATTCCCTAGACTACCCAGCAATTTCCTATCACTTAGTCAACATAACATTTAAACCAGCTAGGATGGGCCCCTATTTCAAAGCTGTTCCTGTACTATACTAGCGAATGGAGGAATATCATGGCCAGAGAAAAATGACTGTTGCTTTGCAG